TAATGTGCTTGGTTCGCTCATGTTAGGTTGAATTCTTCGGCAGGTGTATTGCACTTTGACTATCACATTTAACAGCGATAACTCGACCTTGAAGTTTTAGCTCCTTTGCAAAACCTTTAAGGCACAATGCTTCCATCACAGCTTCAGTTAGGGTAATATATTCCGCTTCAGTGATTGATAAGGCAACGGACTTCTGAAGTGTAGCTTTCCAACTGATTGTTGTCCCAAACATAGGGAACACATATCCAGAAATAGACTTTTTGGAATCCATACAACCTGCATAATCAGAGTCGACATATCCTTCAATTGCTGCTTTACTATCTTCACCCAAGGCTCCACCATAAATTAGGACTCTATTCAAAGACACATTTATGTACCTTAGGATCCACTTGAATGCTTGCCAGTGAGCCTTTCCAGGATTCACCATGTACCTGCTTACAAGACTTACTGCATATGTTATGTCGGGTCTAGTACAGACCATAGCATACATCAAAGAACCTACTATGTTAGCATATAGAATGTTATTCATATAAGTTCTTTCAACATCAGTGTTGGGACACTGATCTATACTCAGCTTGAATTAAGGGTTTGTCGGAGTCACAATAGGCTTTGAATTCGACATACCATACTTTTCGAGAATCTTCCGTAGGTATGCCTCTTGAGATAAGCATAATTTCGACTGCTTTATATCTATTTGGATGTCAATCCCAAGAATCGTGGACGCAGATCCCAGATCCTTTATGTCAAACTCCTTATTGAGTTCATCCTTCACCCTCATTACATCTTCAACATTGTTGCTTGCTATTAGAATATCATCCACAGAGAGCAACAAAATAACTAATGAATTAACCGGTCGAAATCTAAAGTAAACACAGTGGTCAAACTGTCTTCTGATGAAACTTATGTGTGCCATGAACTTGTCGAATCTCTTATTCCACTGTCGAGGAGATTGTTTCATTCCATATAAGGATCTATTCAGCTTGAACATATAATTTTCCTTCCCTTTTTCGATATACCCTTCAGGTTGCCTCATAAGCATTGTTTCATCTAGATCACCATACAAGAACACAGTCTTCACATCCATTTGTTCTAGTTCAAGGTCGAACTATGCCACTGTGGCAAGAAACATTTGAATGGATCTGTGCTTCACAACAGAGAGAACACATCATTGAAGTCGACACCTTCTTTCTGAGTGAACCCCCTAGCAACCAATCTTTCCTTGTATCTCTTCTACGTCACTCCTTCGGTTCGTTCTTTAACTTTGAAAATCTATTTACAGCTGACTAACCTAGCTCCAGCAGGTTTCTTTATCATTTCCCAGGTGTTGTTATCATGAAGAGATTTCATCTCATCATCCATAGCCTTCATCCATCTAGTCTTCTTTTGACTCCTCATAACTTCCTTATAGTCTCTAGGTTCTTCGTCTAGAACCTCACTTGTAGAGATTAAGGCATAAGCTATAAGATCTGCATACCCAAGTCTTTGAGGTGGCTTGATGACTCTCCTCGACCTGTCTCTTGCTAGCAGGTAGTCATTATCAGTCTCCTCATTTTCGATAACATCTTCTGTGTCTTCTTCAACTTCATCTGCGGTACACAATTCATCATCAACATGCTCCACCTCAACAGGAATCTCTCCCTGTTCCAGCTCTTCGTCAGCATCATCAGTTTTCTTGAAAGCCATTTTGTTAAGGAGTACCTGCTATAGTATTATGCCTTACGATCCCAGGCTCAACACGGTAACTATCGAACGCTTCGTTGTAGAATTCAAGACCATTGTTGATTTTCAACCTCTTAACCTTTCTGCTAGTTTGAGTTTCGACCAGAATCTTCCAACTTTTGAAATTCTCAAAAGTTTCATCCTTCGTCTTCTGAATGAATACCCATAGCTTTCTGAAATAGTCATCAACGATGGATAGAAAATACCTTGCACCTGAGTGTGAAGGATTCCTTGCAGACCCCCAAAGATCAGTGTGAATGTAATCTAGGGATTCGTGTGTTCTTTGCTTGCCTTTGTTAAACTTCGCCATATAGGATTTACCAAATACACAAGTTGCATAAAACTACAACTTTTCGACTTTGTCACCTCCTAGCAGGTTTTGCTTCCCCAATTTTACCAGGCCTTTTTTGCTGACATGGCCCAATCTCATGTGCCATAATTATGTCTTTGACACAGGTTTCGTGGATGCAAAATTTGTCGAACCGCTTACAACTTCAGCCTCAAGGGTATACAAGCCTTGTTTCTTCACACCTCTCAAGACTTCCTTTGACCCCTTCATGACTCTTAGGATACTTTTCTCTCCTTAAAAAACGTATCCCTTTCTGTCGAATTCACCAAGAGAAATCAAATTTCTCTTCAAGTCAGGTACATACCTAACTTCAGTCAATAACCTTATTGACTCATCATGGAGCTTGAATCTCACAGATCCAATACCTGCAATTTTGCAAGATTTGTTGTTTCCCAGCAGCACAGATCCACCATCTTGATCACATAGCTCCTTGAACAATTCTCTGTTTGGATTCATGTGCCAAGTGTAGCCTGAATCCATAATCCATTCTTTTCTCGAGTCGCCACTTGAAACCACAAGAACATCAGATGTGTCAAGGTTATCTTGAACAATGGCTACGATGCCACTACCTCCATGATCTTTCAGGCATTCAAGGCACACCTTTCTTGTGTGACCCTCCTTCTTACAGTGATAATATCGAATACCAGATGTTTCGCCACTATAATATTTTTGTTGACTTTTACCTTTCTTCTTGTCGAACTTACCATCCATTCGCAAAATTTTTCCCTTAACGGCCAAAAATTCGCCCACCGTCAAAGGTTTATGCTCCTTTCGTTCGTTCAAGTCCTTAGAATACAAGGTTGATCGAACTTCTTCAAAGGTCAGGGACTCCCTTCCATACCAGAAAGTTTCTTTGAAGTGAGCATGTGTTCTGGGCAAAGCACACAACAACAATAGTGCTTGATCTTCATCATCGATCTTCACATCAATATTTTCAAAATCAAGAATCAGCTTGTTAAACATATCCAACTGCTCAACTAACACTTTGTCTTCACTCATCTTGAATGAATACAAAGCTTGCTTCAGGTAGAGTTGATTCACCAGAGATTTGGTCATGTATAAACTTTCAAGTTTCACCCATAATCTCGATGTTATAATCTCCTTTGATACCTGTCGAAGAACCTTATCACCTCGGCTGAACAATATTGAGTTGTGGTCTTTCTCGATCATGCTCGTCTTTTCTTTTGTCGTTAACGCATCATCCTTGGTTGCCTCTCCCTTCAAAGTTTCCAAACAACCTTGTTGAACCAGTAGGGCTTTCATCTTCAAGTGCCACAGATCAAAGTTGTTCACTCCGGTGAACTTTTCAATCTCATACTTTGTTGAAGGCATATTCTCCATGCTCACCACACCAATTTGTTGTGAATCGGATACCTTGAAACAAAGTATAAAAGGTTTCTTCTTGATCAAGAAACACACAAGGGTTAGGGTTAACAAAGAAAATAAGGTAAAACCACAAGGAACAACAAGGATTGGTTATAAATAGTTATTCTTTCCTTTCTCTTAGAACATGATTACAAGTATAAAAGAATAACAAAATAACCTCTCTCTCTTGAAATTATGATTTTATCTTCCTATTTTTCCTTAGGCCAAGATTGAGAAACTAGCATCCTATTTAAAGAAAAATAGCACACTAACCTAATGGGTTTTTTTAACAATTACCCATTACAAGCTAACTTAAACAATTGGGCTTACAAGCAAGACCTAATTCAACATGCTAACAACCCTAGCAATATTTACTAATGCATGTTAGAACAAACTTCGACTACAACACGCATTACTCTGACAGCAGCATGCGAACATACTTCAACCTCATGCTTAATTCCAGTTGAACCAGAAGCTACCCTTCGACCATACTAGAGTTCGATCCAACATCTCACAGAACTGAATAAGGGTTGTTTTGAAATGTTATATGCACTTGAACTGAACTAATACTTGAATTGAATATGTCATGTTGAAATGATAAATTGTATTTTTTTGGTGGCCATTAAGATGATACTTTTTTCATTAGTATTTTGTTAGGGATCATGATGATATTCTATTTTTCATTTTATTTTGGTGTGTTATATATAGGCCATTTTTTATAAATGCAATTAGATTGGGAATTAATCATGGGTGACTTTACTTAAATATCCTTGCAAGCTTTATGTAGATGGAAAGGTGAATGAAGTGAATTGGAAATGTGATGTGCATTTTATGTCATATATGGAGATTTTCAAAGTAGTCAAAAAAATTGGGTTACCTAGGAATCAAATGCATGTGGTATCATGATACAAAGTTTTCATTTTAGTGTGGGCTTAGATATCTTAACAATGATAAAAGATGTTTTGAAATTTAGGAAAAACATGAATGGTTATGACTGTGTTAATATCTATGTTAAACATATAGTAGATGAACTTATTGTTATAATAAAAGATGAAGTAAGAGAGTATGTTGAACATGTACATGAACCAATAGATATTGACTCAGATGATGAAGTTCATGTTGAAGAGAGGGAAAAAGTATATGTTAATGAGAAGAAAGAAGTCCATGCTGAGGAGATGGAAAAATCCATGTTGAGGAGAGGGAAGAAGTCCAAGTTGAGGATATGAAAGATGTCTAGGTTGAGAAAAATGAATATGTTAGCGAGGAAGCTGAAGATTTTGTGCAAGATAATAATGGTGATTTGGGCGATAGTGAATTTGAAGACTTAGCTGAATATGGTTGGGATTGGACACATGAAGTACCTTGAAATACATATATGCAGAAAGACAATGCTGCAACCAAGTCCCTTCAAACCAAGAACCAATAATAATATCTGATTTTAAAGAAGGCCAAGATGTTGAATCATATGGCCTTGTGCTCCCCGAGGAAGTGAAGATGAACGTGATGAACAAAAGTATCCCAAATTTAAAATGCTTGATTATTGTGATAGTTAAGGCTTGAACTTGGAATGACATTCACCACAAATATGTTTGTTAGAGGTGCAGATAAGTCATATGCAATGGAGGGGGGGGGGAACTTTAACTTTAAGAAAAATGATAGCAAAAGAATAGTTATCAGGTGTGATAAGGAATATTCATTTCAAATGAGAATTAGTAAAAGCTTAGCCAACCAATTCTGGAAGTTGGTGAGTCTGAATGATGATCACATTTTTCATGGGACTGCCAAGAATATGCAAGCTAAAATTGTTTGGATAGCCAAGAAGTTTATACCAATCCTAAGACATGCACCTGAAATGATGCCAAAGGGATTGATTGTAAAGGCACTTGAAGCGGAGTGTGAAGTTGTCCTCACCTCAAGCATATAGAACTAAAACAAGAGCACTGGGACTATTAAAGGTGTATAGACTGAGCAAGACTCTTATTTGAGGAATTATGCTAAGGAACTAATAACTCACTTTGTGTGAGATATTTAAGCCTTTTATAATTAAATGTTAGGGTAAATTAGAGATTGAGTAATGCCATTTGTTAATGTTTTATGTTACTTTAGTTAAATAAGGACATAGCACACTAGGTGATCTCTTTTGTACATTTTATGTTTTTTGTATTCGTGCAAAAGTGGTACTTGTGACAAGTTCTGTCATGCCAGAAATCCTCAAACATCAATTAGAAGGCCTTGAGCCAGAAAACACTGGCGTGGTTTCTCAACTTTAATGTTAATGTTGATGTGGAAGATATTTGAGAAGAAAACATGGTTGAGTTATAGAAAGCAAATGGATAAGGATGAAACACTACAAGCCAAATCCTGGAAAGCTAAAATTGAGGCGCTGAGACACCATCGTGTACAACAGACATGTTATAAGACGTGTTGTCTCTTACAGATTATATGTACCAATTTAATACTTGTACTATAGGACAAAGAAGAGCTTATTCCTTATTCCTTTGGGCCAAATAAATGGACAATTAAGAGACCCATTATCTAAGATATGAAGTTTACCCTAGTTTTGAAGGAGCCTATATAAGGAGTTGTGTTGGGGTTGAGGAGGAGGTTCAAAATTCGAGAAAATTACAAAGAGAAAATATATCAGCAATAATGCGAAAAACTTGAACTAGTTCTTGATGCACCTCTCACTCTTCCATTTCTAAAGAAAATCACCTATCTGGGCATCACCTTATGTTTCTCATCCACCCTATAAGTCAACAATTTCATTTCCATAAATGTTTGTGAAGGTTAAGGTAGAGGCCCTGTAACAAACTCCTATGTATGCTAAGTTTCTAAGAAAAACCCTTTCTAAAAAGAGAAAGTTATAGGAACATGAAATTAGAGAAATTATTTTAGCTCAACCCAAATCTTTGATACTAAGGATAGAACCAGAACCATACACATAGGTTCACAAGTATGAACCACCTCGTAGAAAGAAAAAAAGGGAGAGTAATTGATATGAAAGATGACTAGATAAATGGGCATGAACACCTAAGACTACTGAGAGTAAGGCTGAGGAATCATTTTTGAAAGACCCACCCTGAGTATCTGACACTCATGAATATTCGATCTAAAACAATTTTAAACAAAGCGCTTTGTGGGAGGAAACCCACTTTTTGTGTTGTTTCTTTTTGCAGGTTCCTTTTGTTTTGTGTTCCTCTTCTACAGGATCTACTTATACTTTTCCCACCTCCTTAATGAGTTGTTATATGAGTTTTCTCCTTACCTCCCTCTACTTTTACTAGAACATTAAAGCCAATGTATGGTTTAAATTATAGGGTTTTCCCTTTTCTATTTCTTTATTTTTGCTTTTTTGTTGTTGTGTGATATGTGATGTTTAGGATAGTTTATTTGTATGTTGTATGTATCACTATTAGATTTCCCCAAATTAGACTTATTAAAAAAATGTCTTCTGAAAAAGCTATTGAGTTTATGAAATACACCTGAACGTATATAGGCGTGAAGGAATGATAGGTTGAGTTTAGGGACACTAGGAAAATTGATAAAATCGATATTACTCAAAAACTTTATGTTTCACGAGTAGGATACGAGTCTAACCTGTATTTTGTAGCATAATACTTAGACTATGAGAAGTACTTCCTAAGTAGTTTAATTTGACAGTCCAACATAAAATTGATTCACACTCCATGTATGATCGGGGGAGAGAAAAAGAAAAAAAATATAAACTCCAAAGAGATGAAAAATGGCGGTAAAAGGAAACTGCACCTACTAAGTTAGGTAACCCTCATGGGGTTATTCAGCCCAATGGTGGTTGAACTCTAAACGTCAACCCAAAATGGGAAATAAGTAAACAAACAAAAGTTTATAATTTCATATGCAAATAAAGATGGAAAGTAATTGCTTAGTTGGCATAAAATAAAATAATTTATCAATTGATCTTTTGCATGTGATGATTATCATTATTTCAATTGCCTTAATTTGATTGTCTGAATAAAAGTGAAGGAAAATCGAAAAGAAGACTTAAGTCCAAATCATAGTTAGAGAGGTAATTGAAATAAGAGGCTTTTGTCTATATCTGTTTTACATTCTTGTGTTCTTGTAATGCCTTTGATGTTAATGAGTACGGGGGATCCTAGATCTTAGAAAATAAGAACAATGCGCCACATACGAGTACTAGTGATTTCATTCTCTTAAGCTTTTGAAAAACTGAACCGTGTGATCCAAAAAATTTCCTAAGCAAGCTTGTTGCTCGAGGATAAGCAACACTTTATGTTTGGGGGTTTTTGATAAGTGATTATTACAACATTTTTTTGCTTATTTTATTGTGTATTTTTATTGTTTTGTTGTGATTTCGTGCGTTTTTGTGTGCTTTTGTTGATTTTGGTTAATAAAAATGTATCAGGCAAGATTTAAATGAAAAATATGAAACATCACGAATTTGAGTAAAGTCTCAGTACAAAAGATTTATGGCCAACACTGCTAGTTATATCAACTGACATGGGTTGTGTTAGCCCTTGAAGCCCCCTAGTAGTAAAAATGTGAGAACATCACGGGCTAGTCGTGTTTCCTTACATGGTCGTGCTGCTCAACACGACCCCCTCGTGTCTGAAAACACTGTCCGTGTCAGACCTAGTTTCAGTTGTAAATTTTGGTATTCCGTAACGGTTTCTTGACTTATGGACTTTCGAAACTGCTTCACTTCATCCATAAGTGATCATTATGATTGTTTCATAAATTTAAGTTGATTAATTATTGAAATCATGTATAAATATTGTCTCACTTGTTTGGAATTGGAGAAAGCCACTTTTAGATTATCACTTGTTTTCATTTTTAGCTTTTAGAATTAAGCTCTTAATTTATTTTTCTGCAACTCCGACTATATTCTTTATATTTCTTAATATTATTCAATCCTTTATCTTCAATTCAGGTTATCTAAGTTTATCGCATTTGCTTTTGCTTTCTATGTATGTCATGTCTTTATCTTGTTTATTTCTCGTCAATCTCACCATGAGTGAGTGACGCCTTAGGGATAAGGGGTCATGAGCTTTATATCATACCAAACCTCAATTGAATTATTTTTTAAAAAAATAATGAGAAAACAAAGAGCTTAAAAGCTTTAGAATTTGAAATCTTAGATATATTTGTGTTAGCTAGAGAAAGAAGAGGCAACCTAGATGTTGATTATGTATCAAAAGGTAGTGATTTGACATTCAACTATGGATTTCTAAACAATCGATAATGAGATGCAAATAATAAGGTGGCTTGTTCTCTATTGAGAAATTCTATTAGTTGTGTTACAAACACGTCCAGATATGCACGCCACGAAATTGGTGTAATGCATTTTTATCTACCTTTCTATAATTTGCTTCATTTTCTCATAATTGAATCGAAAAATCAATTGGGCAATTTGGGATAGATATCATATACCCCATGTCCTTTTTTTCTTTACATTGTTAATTTTATACCATTTGTATTGAATCTCTGAATATTTGATCACTTTATCTACACACCTTTAGGATAAAAATCAGTACTTAGTACCATCTCCTTGTAGGTTCGATCCTATTATATTACTTCATATTACCTGTGTTAAATGCAAATTTTGACTTAAAATGAACCATCTTTCTTGGCACTTTTCAACTCAATTCTCATGTTTTCATAGATTTAATTCCTGTTCTTGAGTGATTCTTCAATTATATTGCAAATATGTTTGGATTCTTAGATATGTGTGTTATTGTGCAGAAATTAGGCATAAAACATCAATGAGTAAGACACAAAATATTAGGCAAGGAAGCCAAAGAAATGTGAAGATTCTACAATGTTCGTTGGGTGAACAGTAGCAAGCAGCCAGAAAATATTCGCTGGGCGAAGTATCAACGAGGTCCCAGCGAGGAGGAAACCTTGGAAGTCAATAGCTAAAGGACCCTAAGTTTGTTATTCGAACTTGTAGTGAGGTAGTTTGCAGTGTGAAAAATTGCTCGCACGACGAACTCTGATATTTTCCAAGGGCGGTTTAACTATTCTTGAGGCACTTCAAGTGCCAAAAAGGGGACTTCGCTAGGCGAATAGGTGGTTCACAGTGCGAACATGACAGATTTTGTAAATACTATATAAGCACTTTTTCTGCTTTTTAGAAAGAACAAAAGTTACATTTTTCACATCAGAATTGTATCTATCTTCATTCCAAGCATATTCTAGAGAGAGAAACACAAATCCTAAGAGGGAGAAGGTAAGACCTTCAATCTCTTGTTGGATTTGGATGTAATCTTTTGATACCTTATGTATTTCATCTAATTTATGTATTGTGAACTAGTTTTGATTCTCTATTTTTGATTGCCTTTGATTTCTTATTTGTGGGTCTTGATAAAACCTTTTGAAATATTTGATCTTAGATCTTCATCTATCAATGAGTAAACTTTTGACATAGTCTTGTGAGTTGATATTCATTTGCATCACATTTATTTTATTGTGTTGATTAAGTAACATGAGTAGCATGAGTAGGACCAATACGGTAAAGACCATGATAACGTTTGACAAACGGTATTGTAAGGATGCATGATTATAATGATGAAGAATGATGTTCACATACATTTGGCAGATTAGGTGAATGCACATAAAAAAGGGTTAATCACGTGTACGTATTCTGATCATGGCGTTATATATGAATTAAATCATTAATTTGATATGGATGTTATAGTAATTTATGTTGGGTCTAAACTCTAGACATATATTTAGGTTGAACATTCACGTGAGTATCAGTTCTTAATGCTCTGTGTTGGTTTTGTTGTGTGAGATATCACCGATGAGACAATAAGGTTAGCCTCTCAATTTTGCGTTAGACATAACCTCTGTTGTGGGTGATACATGATGATATTAGACGAAATTTTGAGTTGTGCATAACATGATTAGAAGAATGCATATGTTATC